TGATCAGACTGTTTACTACTGTATCATTAGCACCAAGAGGAGAGCTTGACATGGAGCAGGAATTCCTTGTTTATGGAGCAATTCAGCATGCTGAACTAGCTTCAAGGGATAGAAATGCATTTATGAAATGGTATTATGACGTACTGACTGGGCTATCAATCTGACCTGCTCTTCTGTTTAAATGGACTATCTAGGCTATTTCAGGGAACAAAGTTCAGAAGAGCAAAGCAATATATAATTTAAATAAGAAAGAGACCATGGAAGAGCCAAGCCACTGCATCCCTGTTAAATCTCTTCTTGGCAAGATTTCTTTTCAGAAGTCCATTGTGAGTCATATCCTAATTCCTCTGTAAATAAGATTTTTGACTTTGTTTTCTGAGTTTGAAATAATTCACTCAGGTGTACTGTTTTTTTTTTGTTGTTGTTGTTAGTTTTTATACTTGTTTCTGAAAGCTGATATGCCCTCTGAGCTTTCAGAATCTCTGGTTTGGTATTTCTCATTAAAATGTAAAAGTTCTTATGACCATAAGGAAACAAAGACTTACAGGTGAACTATTTCAGATAAATTAACCTAACCTAAATTACTCCATTTTGCCCAAAACAGCCATTTCAAAAAGTGCCTTTACCCGACCTATGAAAAATACCTAGAAGGGAGAGGCAACTTTGAGTTCCAGGGAATGGCCTAACCACAAAACCACAGGGAGTCTTAATCTAGGCCTGCACTTGACAACTGCTTCTGTAAACCTGCTACACTGGCCCGCACCCGCGTCGGCAGGGAGTCTTAATCTAGGCCTGCACTTGACAACTGCTTCTGTAAACCTGCTATGCTGGCCCGCACCCGCGTCGGCACAACGACAAGTTGTTGATTGGTAAATTTAAAGTTTGCTGTGTTTGAATTTTACTATGTTATAGTAGGTGTAAACCTGATTGGCCCACAGATGTGCTGTTTGAGCAATGCTCTCTAATCCTATAAAAGCACTGACTGACTGATGTTCGAAGCTGCTTCTATCCCCGACATAAACAGCCCGGCCGGCCAAAAATAAAATTTTCTCTTGCTACTATTTTTAGTGATGTTGGTGATCTTTTATTCGTGAGCGATATAATTTGGCGTATAAGAACAGGCTCTTGAGAAATTGTTCATACAAACGTACAGCCATGGTGACAACATGTGCAAGACCGATGCAGACTCAATTGTACAAAAACCTAGCATAGAACTGAAGAAATGGGCAGCAGGCCCCAACCTTAGCCAAAGAACTGTTGGTACTTGATCACTGCTGGGTGAGGGAGAGTTGAGATTCTTTAAGGGAGAGACTCTAGATAGGCTGACCTGACTCGAGAGGATCAACTTGCACTGAAGGACATCTGGGTATATAAACTTGATTCAATAGGTCTTAACCTATAAGACAGAATGCATGAAATCCTGTGGGCAAGCTACGGGGTTGTACATATACGGGAGGGGATCTAAATAGGATTGAGATATATAAAATCCATATCCAATATTTCTCAATTATGTCTTTTTTCATTTTTTCAGTATGCTGATCTGTACAGCATTACACCTGTTGAAACTGTCTCCTTGTTCTGGGCAGGTCTAGTCTGTGCTCATCACCATTATCTACTTTGAATTTCAGTTTGACTAGTTTCTATCCACCTGTCTTCAAGTGCACCGACTCTTTCCTTGACCCTTTCTACTTTGATTATAGAAAGTTAAAGGAATCTTATGTTTTCTTTACAGCTTTTGATTTGTAATATTTAAAAATCTTCTTTCTTTGAATTTTTATCCCTTTATTTTACTTGCCTGCTCATTCTTTTACCTTCAGAGCACTGAATGTACACATCAGAGCTTTTAAAATTCCTATCTGAGTGGTTCTGGCATGTATGTCATATTTGACTCAGATTTTGATACTTCCCTTTTATCATTTTATTTTTTTTCTTTTAAGACAATATTGTGCTACTTAGCAATATGAACTAAGCTAAGCACATCTTTATCAAGAGATGTGGAGTTCGTCTGGTTGGGAATTGGGATGTGTTTTCTGTTTGTTGTGGCTGTAGGTGACATAGACTGCCTGTTTCTCCTGTGTACTGGGTTTTGCCATCCCGTTTGTCTCAGTTTTCCTAGTTCCTCTTTGGAGAAAATCTGAATACTGTAGCTCTTTTTAAAAGTATATTTTATTTACTATTTTTATTTTATGTGTCTGAGTGTATTGCCTGCATGTATGAAAGCACACTGTGTCATGGAGGTCAGAAGAAAGCATCAGCTCCGCTGGAACTGGAGATATGGATGATTGTTAGCCATCATGTTGGGCACTGGGAATGGAACCTGGTTCCTCTGCAAGAAGTCAGTGCTCTTAACTGCTAAGCCATGTCTCCAGCCCAATAGTATATCTGTTTTAGCTGTCTGTCACTGATACATCAGAGCTTTGATGGCATGAATATAACCTCCAGATCAAGATGCTTTCTGTCAGAACATCAATAAATCTTGGGCTTTTAGTGGCACAGTATCTCTCAACCGTCATTTTTCCAAGTGCTTCTTAATCCTGCTACCCACCCCTGTGGTGATACAGGGAAGCCAGATAGTAATAGAGAGCTAGAGAGTGGCTTTTCCTCAGGTTAAATAGGGCCCAGGAGAAGCCTTTTCCCCTAGAGAGCTGGGATCTACCGTGAGGTAGCTTCTAGGCTTGTTTCTGTGATTAATTTCCCCTCCTTCCCTTCTTCGGCTTTTTGCCAAGGGAAGCTACTGGTGCCCCTGGCATTGAAACCCCTGATGTGCAGGGCATCTCTAAGAATGTGCCTCCCCAGGAGCTTCCTATCTTCAAGCTATTCCATATTCAACATTCATCAATTCCTCTAAAGTATTATATGTGTGCTCATCCAAGTTTGTATATTCAGCTATTTTTGCTCAAAAAATTAAAGAGATTACTAGTATATATAACAATATAGAAGAATCCCACATATGATTCCCAGTAATGTTCAGGAACAGATTCTGAGTACATGGACTAGAAATCAGAAGCATAGCTACATCTTTGGAATAAATGCCTATTGTTATACTTAAATTCAAGTCTCATTTCAAAATAATATTAACAAAGTAAGCAGTTTATCCAGATCAACAGCAGGTGTATTTGTAACATAAAAGGTAGATTGAAATATGATATGGTTTACTCATCAAGGTCTGGTGCTGAGAGAGAATCTAGAACAGACCTCAGAACTTGAACATGCAAATGCCATCAACTCAAAAATTCCAGAGCCAAAATGATATGATGGAAATTACTGATCTATGATGGATTTTTGCCACAGCAGCCTGAATATGACAGGAACTGTCCTGTCATTCTGGAGCTGGGGATGTGGCTCAGTGGTACAGCGTTGTCAGCATGCATGACCCTCAGTACACACTCCACTACTGAAAAAAACTGCCATGTTGTCATTCTGCTTCAGTGTGGGAAACGTTAAAGAGCAGGATTAGAAATAAGAACCGGAATCATAAGCCTTGCCTGAAAGGAAAGGCTGCTTCTTAGTTTCTAGAAACCACGATCTTGCATGCCAGGTTTCTCTGGGGAGGTACGGCAGAGAGGAAGGATGCACACTGTAGCTTCATAATTAAATCTGAGTCTGTGGCTTTGGTATGTGATCTCCTAAGCGTCAAAAATTTTTAAATTCTCTCCAAATTTCTACCCTTTTGTATCCATTGTCCACTCGCTTTCCTTCAGGGGCTCTGAATATACTCATCAGAGTTAATTTAAATTCCAGGCCTGATAATTCTAACATTTTTATGTCAGATTTGAGCCTGATTGTGATGCTTAGTTTTTCTTCTTTTAATGTTTTTATTTGAAGATAGTTATCTCTAGTCTTTCAAAAAGATGAGCATTCACATCATTTTAGTTTAGCTTTATTTAGATTTATGAAACACAATTGAGATTTATCCTATAGTATGAGACTTCTGGAAAACTCTATTGGCTCATGTCACACTTGTTCATCTCTCTATCTTCAAGCCTAGCACACAGTAAGTACACTTCCCATGGATGTGCAGTAGTTTTTAGTTGTTGCGTAAGTCCAAGGTTAATGAACAAACTTGGGCTCTGTTTGATCCTATTTCAAGAAAATGGAGAAGGCAGTCTGGCCTTGACGGTCACATTTATGAAAGAGTAATTATTTAAAAAATACATTTGGGGGTTATATGTGAGGTATGGTTACAGGAACGTGGTATTTGCTCTGCTGAGCAGAAGAAGATAAAGCCAGAGAAGTAAGCAGGACAAAGAGAAAGGAGTTCTCAAGCTAGGGGTGTTGCAGTTTGTCTTATGGGAGCACATCAAAGGGAATACCATAGGCTGAAGCAGTATTTACGGTTGGGTTTGTAATTAGAGAACATTCTGCTAGAAGTGTATGTACTGGAAGACAGAAGTAGAAGATTTGTGCTCTGCTTACTCATTGGCCAGTACTTCCACAAAAGACTCATTTAGTTTCTCATTCACATACTTTCTGGTCTCTACACTCTTTTCTCTTCTTTTTTTTTAAGACAGGGTCTCCATGTAGCCCCAGCTGACCTAGAACTTACAACAGACCAGGCTGGCCTTGAACTCACACAGATGCACAAGTCTGTATACTCTTAAGCTTTCAAGCCACTGCCCTTATGATTGGTAAGAGCACATGGGACAGGATCACCTGCTCCGTTCATTTCCTCTGCAAGTGCATGAGGTGCTTCATGTTGTGTTAGAAAGAAGGCATGAAGGACAAATCAATGAACTGGATTCTTAATTTTGATTTAGTCTCATTTATTACAACATGAATCTGATACACAGTCCCCACACCTGAGCAACATAGAACAGCATTGTAGACAGAAATCTTACATCAAAGAAGGAAAAAAACGAGTTAAAATGTGAAAAGAGCAGCTTGTATTAGCTCAGTCACAGTGAAAACAAGAAAAAAATAACTACTACAAGGAAAGAAGCAGCATCCATAAAGTTGACTTTTACACTGGATTCTCAGTGTTATTTGTGGCAACCAAGAAGTTACCGACCTCCCTGTGCAGAGCAGCCAGGGCGGCTCGTGCTGACCACATGGGTCAGCGGTTGACAAGCACTGGAGTAAGGCTGCAGAGGTCTCAGGCTGCTGGGCACAATATGGATGGTCTGAGGGCCATAGTTCACACAGCTTGTGGGTCTGCATCCATAAGAGACAACACCCAGGGGTCGGCAGCTGTTGGATACACAGGGGACTGGGCGATAGCCACCAGACACACAGCCTATGGGCTGGCAGCTGTTGATGAGAGGGCTCATTGGCCGATAGCTGCTGGAAACATAGCTCACAGGTCTACAGGATGCTGGGATGCAGGAGCCAGAGATGAAGGAAGAAGCAGGAAGATAACCAGATCCTTGGCAGGGTCTGGGCACATAGTAAGCTGTAGAAGAATAGCAAGAGCCTTCACAGTTGTTGGCTTCGTGGTTGGCTGGCTGGCCACCAGCAGATTCTCCAAAGGTCTCTTGGCAGTTGTTCACGATCCAGGTATGATCTTGACAGCTACCTGGAAAGCAGAGGGCATCCCCACAGCCCATGTTCGCAGAGCAGAAGGCGATGGAGGGGGTGACTGGAAGATGGCAGGCATTTCTGAGAGATCCGGAGTTGCCGTTTCCAGAGCAGTAGTTATGGCTAGCCATAGTGAGCTTTAGGGAGCAGGAGGTGGTTGAAGATGCGAGGGCCTCGGGTGTGATTCTGGTACCAATTGTCTTGGCCCTTTATATATCCCTGGAGAGTGGTGGCTTTGTGTACAGACTCATCCTCCTTGTTGTTTGAGTCTGCATCTGAACTCCATTGGAACCCAGGAAGTAGGGCTCTTCCCTCCCATAAAACTGGATATTCCCTGCAATACCACCCGTCGATTGAGTATAACTATCAATTAGTGTGACTGAATTTTAATAGGTTCTCTATTAAAGTTATCCAACCAGACAGACACTTCAGAAGGCTGTGAACGTTCTCCAGTTATATCCACTATTGCACAAACTGTGACATTTCTCTAGAAATTGTCTTTTAAATTTGCAGCAAACTCCATTGAATAGTGGCAAATTATCTCTTACTGAAGAAAAATTCTATTCTTTTTAGAAATTACCCCAAAATTCTTGGAAGTAAGATGGATGTAAAAGAAACTTTTAAAAAAATTATAACTTACACAGCTGAATTTTAAATAATATAATGTGGAAAACTTCCATGTGTTTCCTCTTATGCATCTTCCAAGCAGAAACTGACTTCCTTTCAAAATATATTTATTCAGAAAATGTGGGCTTGCTTCATTAATTTCAATAAATAAATAATTTAGTCATTTGAAAAATTGTTTATTTTTTAAGATAGTCTTTAATATAGGTAATGAGGTTGAGCAATGCTGGATTCCAATGTAAACAAGAGCAAATAAATGGAACTTCATAAAGAAAGCTGGACAAAATAGCTTTTATTATGGATATTTCAGGATTATATATTTCATTGTTATTCATATTACAACTGAAAAATAGCTTTCTTGATAAAAAAGAATATTCTGATTAAAGGAGGACTGTGTTTATTTCCTACATTTGATGTGACCTCAATTTCCCGAAGACTGAATACATTGATATAAGTAATATAAGAATAAATATGTAGTTCTCCTGGATTTGAGTACTTTAAAGGCTACTTGGAAATTTGCTGAAAACGGCTTTAAATGTACAAATATGGTCAGCTTCAACATCCCCACTGTCTTTTTCAGAAACTTGCGTATCCAGTAGTTCTAGTGGTTATTTTAATGGACATTTAAATTATCTGCTGAATCTAACTTCCATCCCCTTTGGCTAAAAATTCAATTTAAATCGTAGCACTTTCTTCTATTTTAATGTTCAGTGGACATGGTCACGTTTATCATGTCTCCCTTGCCCAGGAGAGTAGAAAATGTGAAATAGATAGTTGATTTCTCTATGACTATCCAGGTCTATTTTACCAGCAGAGGTATGTGTGAAAATAAAATGACGCCAGGGTCTCAGGTCCTGTGCTCACATGATGAATTTATCGTAGAGTTTGAGGTCATAGGTCATAACTCTTCAATGAGTTGTTCCGGATGTAATTGAAGACCACACCCCAGGACCTCATCACCTGATACTCTTTGTGTACAGTGGGTGAGTCTTCTTGCACAACCTTGGACTCATCCACCAAGTAGCATTAGTAATAGGTACAGCCATATTTGCTGAATGGATATCAACTTTGTGTTTAGATGCTCTTTACATTTGCCCTTCTCTAATATAACAAAGAGCCCAACACCTGTGTCATCTGTGTATCATGCAGTGTGTACATGTGTGCACAGGCTCTGTATACTTTCCATGCAGGCATGGGTGATTTTAAATAAAGGAAAGAGATATGGAGTAAGGGATAATTAGCACTCAATCGTACTTACTCCATGATAAACTTTGTGGCATGTAGACTTGTGTGGATGCTGTCACTTCATCCTCTTGATTCTGGGAAGCACATATTTAATATTTCAAGTACGCATATCTGAAATTTCAAACATTATAGTAGTGTATGTAAACACTTTTAAACGAAGTTCCTTTTTCTAATATGGCATCACATAGAAATAAATTGATACCATGATCTAGTAACTGAACTATAAGAATTTAAACAACTTATGCCATCCTCAGCCACTATGGGTTTCAATTTCTACATCTAAATATGCAAAGTCCTACAGACAATGAGACAACAGAGTGTCTTGAAAGTAAGTGATGCCTTCCTGCACACTGGTGGAAGTAATTTCATGATGGTTGTACTGCTCAAAGCGGTCACTGGAGCCCAGTGCCAACTGCTTCACAGCTGGTTCATAGAACTTATAGATATCCTGCTTCTCTTCTGACCCTAGAATATCCAAGTTCAGGAAACTGTGCATTTCTGTCCTCTCCCAAATTTCCACGCTCTATGTTTTTTGACTCAGTAAGCCAGGAATTATTTTTTACCTTTTGTAATCTAGAAATTTCTGTCATGGAAAAAATATCCCCAGAGCATTCAAAATAAAGGCATGGTAATAAATTGCATACTTTCATTGTTTCATCCATCCATTCGTTCATTTAGAAAATATTTACTGAATATCTAAGATGTACAGCAGTACACAATGAGAGAAGTTGGTAGTAACACAAGGCTAAAATGGTTCCTGCTCTTAGATGCACTTCATCTTGTAAGTGTGACAGTAAAGATGTTCAACCCATGCCATGTTTACTAGATTCTATAAGTGACTTACAGAGAAGCCAAGAAGAACCCAATAATCTTGACTAAATCTTGATGATTCATATGAATTTGATAGATGGAAAGGAATGGCAGGGAATCTGGAAAATAAAGAATAAATTCAGATAATGAAAAAGATTAATTCTCAGCAGAAACTGAAAATTACTTGACAACCAGTGCTTTCACTGGACAGTCCGAATTGTATGAATCCAGTCTGACACTAGGGAACAAGATAAGGCACTGTTCTAAAGGCACGGTGACCCAATATCTGGCTTCAGGACAGGATACTGATATTAAAATGTAGCACAGATTAGAAAATGAGCTACTATAATATTTTTCTCTTTTGATCCTCTAAAACCATGCATTTTCATTAATTTTTCGATTTTTAAAAGACACATGTGCAAACATCTAAGTGTTAGTAGCATTAAAAATGCAGGAGGCAGGCAGATCTCTGTGAGTTCAAGGCCAGCCTGGTCTACATAGTAAGTCCCAGGACAGCTGGGGCTACAGGGAGACCTTGTCTCAAAAAGACCCAAGAAAAATGTAGGAAACAGCATATGGAGATCTTCTTTAAAGGTTAAAAACTCATATTCAGTTTTATGTCTTACAGGGTTTATACTGAGCTCAATATTGTATAATTGTATTAATTCAACTGTGAGCCTAAAAATTTACAGCCACTTCTGAAAGAGATATATCCTTGCTCTGGAAATTGTTACTGAATATGTTAAAGTTGTAATGAAATGCTTCTTCTAATCATGTGGTTATTAAATAAAAAAATCACTGTTGTCATTTGAAATTTTGTGTGAATTTTTTCTACCATTTGTAACTCCTGTCTCTATTTTCTGTTTTGCATGAATATTATATTTAGAATTGCATTTTCAAAGTTAATTTTACCGTGAAACCCTCTGAAAAAAACTCATCATGTCCCATTATCCACATAGAACAACCATCCTCTGATTTCCAGTGAAGATTTTCTTAGACCTTCTTGGTCTGCCTGTTTGTGTCTACAATCACGTCACTGTCATCCTCTTTCCATGTCATCTGCTCACTTAACCTTACCTTCCTGTCTTTGGGGATGATACAACTGAATCTATCACTTGGTCTTCAAGTAAACTCCTTCATAAACAATTTTCATTTCAGACCAAGCCTGCCAACTTAGAGTCTACCATCTTTAGATAAGTGTAATTAGAGTCACTTAATCCTCCCTTACAAGCTTTATTGCTCTCTCACTATATTTCTCACCCTGTCACTGTGTGTCTCTCACTGTTTCTTGTTTCTGTCTCTGTCTCTCTGTCTCTCTCTCTCTCATACATACACAAACACACACATATACACATGAAGCACATACCTTTGCATTGAGAGCAGAACATCCTATATCTTGTTTCCCAATATATTATAGGGGACTCTTACTAGCTACCACTTACTGAGCACTTATCACATACCAGACACCATTATATGTGTTTTACCTCTATTACTTGATTTAAGCTCCAAGATGTCCCCATGGCTATAGGTGTGACCATTATGAGGAAACAGTCTGTCATTAATTAGTATTTCATAACTAGCATCATAGCAATCACAAAATATACCTTTGGTTTTCCTCACCAAATAGAGGTCAATCTTTCCTTACTCGGTAATTTCTTTTATGCACTTTTCTCACCAGTTATCTGTAGACACATGGAGAAATTAATTTCCAAAGAATATAAATAACATGAAATGGAAGTTGTCTCTCTGTCTTGAGAATTTTATACCCATGTCATGAATGTGTACTGTCCTTTTCTTAAATCTTTAAATCTCCTCTCTCTTTATCTCTCTCTCACATTAACCATACTTAAGTCTTAAATATTAAATGGTTAATAAAATTAAAATGGTTCCTTCATGAACTTCAACTTGCCTCAAAAAAAGAGAGAAATAGTAAGAGATAGCATGACTACTTCATATAATTTATCATGCTTTTCACCTGTGTATTCTAATATTTCCAACTAATCGTCACCTTTAGAGGAGCAGTTCACTGTAGACTGCACAATACAATGACTTAAATGAAGAGCCCCATCCTCTATGCCACGTAAAATTACTGAATTACATTCCATTATATAATTAATCCCTTTCCAGCAATTTAAAGTTCAGAGTAAATGAACAGACTGTCAGGACATAATCTATGAACTAAAATTTAGCTTACTATATAGCATTATTCATATAGAAACATTAGTTCACACATGATTTGAACAAAATTTGCTCCTTCATTCTTTATTCCTCTGTATACAATAATGTGCTCACAGGGTATTAAAAATGATTTTATTTTAATCGACACCTTTTCTCATTTTTTATTAAATACATGGAAATTGGAAGAATCCTTTGTGCTACTCATAATTAAGCCCTGGAATTATGTTCCTTTTGTCTATATAAGATCTTTATTTTTCTCAGTACTTACATGTTT